TAAGCATGAGTTCCAAGGGAAACATTTTTTCTCTTTTGAATCAACAAATGCTTTGAACTGTTTTACTAGTTCAAAGATAAAGAAAGGGCCAACAACAGTGCATCGATTGACTTTCATTAGGTCTCCTGCCTTCCGCCACAACATGAGAGAAATCATTTCCATGTGCTATACAAGTAAAACAAAATTAAATATATGTACATGATGTATTAGTGGTTCATGTAAAAACAGAAATACGTACATAATGTTAAAATATGTACAAAAGCATACGAGAAGGTAAATATACCGTAGAGTGTACCCAGCATATTGGCTTGGCAAGTTCGTCGAAAAATTCTCTACGAATTTTGTAAAGACCAAAATGATTGAAGGTCCTGCAAATAGACTAAAGGTGTAAAAACGCACAAAAATATACCTATTCGGATAATAACATTTGTAGAAAATTAAGTAGGTTATCTTTCCTCATTTCCTAAAACATCATTAAGTTTAGAGAAATGGTCATGGTTAATGCCATTTAAAGGATTGTATTGGATGCTACCAGCTATAACCGCCTTCGGTTTCTGTACAACGGCAACATATTCCTGCATCTTCAGTGTTGGAACCCTAACCCTTGCCGGACCATCCCTCATACTGTCTGGACCCTGTACATCTGTCACTGCTTTTCCACCAAGCATAACACCGCGGTTCAAGTTTTGGATAACCTTAAAAACACAAAATAGTCAAAACATAAGACTGTAATTCATCTAAAAAACACGAGGGAGGGAAGGGAAAGGACTTATACATCATCAATAATGCGTGAAGGGGACGTCTCCTTAGAGTCTTCTTCTATCTGCCTTTGTCCAATGCTGATGTACGTACATCAGAAGGAAAGGGAACACGTACATCTGAAGGAGAGGGAACACGTACACCATCTCCCTCCAAATTGTTAGTTTTCTTCTAACGGTGCGTCCTTATCCTCAATTGATGTACGTACATTAGAAGGAGAGGAAACACGAACATTACTTCCCACCATATCCGTAGAAACATCTCCTATCTCAGCCTTCTTACCTTCTTCTGATGTACGTCCATTGAAAAGAGAGTGAACACGTATACCACCTCCCTCCATATCCTTAGAGTCTTCTTCTAACTGCGCGTCCTTGTCCACTGCTGATGTACGTAAATCTGAAAAAGAATGAACATGTACACCGCCTCCCTCCATATCCTTATCTCAATTGATGTATATACATTAGAAGGAGAAGAAACACGTACATTACTTCCCACCATATCCGTAGAAACATATCCTGTCTCAGCCTCCTTACCCTTTTCTAATGCATGTCCATTGAAAGGAGAGGGAACACATACATCATCTGATTCCATATCCATACGTACATTAAGAGCAGAGGAATCACGCACATCAATGGTATTAGAAGGTATACTTTGATCATCATGCATGGGAAGATCAGTTAGATCTGGGTGAGGAGAGGGTGAACGTGGCTCTTTCATTGTAGCCTCCATGGGATGTCTATTGTCAGTCAGGTGTTGTACATCCATCATTGGTTGAGAAACATTGACATTAGGCTTATGTACGTGTGTGTCTGAGGTAGAAGGCAAAATTTTCTTAGAGACACGCTGCGGGAGTAAACTGGTGAGTTAATTTCCTTTAAAAAAACATAAATACCATAAATATCATGTACAAAACATACCTTAATTGGTAAACTCGGAGCAAACTGGCCGGATGTTGGTAGATTCTTATCTGCCATCTGCTGAGTTGAAGACTTAAGTCCGGCATGACCTGACGTCCTTGTTCTTACACTCGGAGCATGGACATCCTTATTGCTAACCCTTGACTTTTTCGTACGGGTTGAGTCATGTATAACAGGAGACGACTCTACAAACAAATCCATAATCTTGGACAAAGCTTCACTTATCTTTTTGTCAATATAACTTTTCAATCCCTCAACAACATTATCTGTGTGCTGTCTTTGAAGCAACAAACCACGTCTAAGTTCACCAATAATGCTCTGACATTGATCAGATCTTACACCTTCTCCATCTTCTCCATACACATAATTCTTTTCTCCATGTACGTCATTCACAATCTTTGATGTCTTCTGTTTTTGCGGGCATCCCCAACAACCTTTTTTCTTTGGATCTCTTTAATGGTTCTACAAAATCATCATCATCGTTGTTGTTAATCCGCTCATCACGGACACACTTTTTCCCTGTCATTCTCTTAGATTGCTGTAAGTCAACAGATTCAACTTTTTTGTTGTCTTTTTGGGTCTTTTTCTGGTAACATGAAGATATAGACGGTAAATGATGAGTAAACACATATAAAATTGTTTAAAATGAATTCAATGTCACAATGTACCTGAGGGATACGATACTTGACCACCAAACCAATGATTATCATCGAATTCAAAACCATTTTTTAAAAGAGATTCTACGTACATAACATGAGTATCAAGCTCGTCATTTTCCCACAGAAGGGATCCCTCAGGAGCTGGATCATCAGAATGTAGTATAGAATCAACAAGTATCTACAAAACAAAACGATGGCAAGTACATTAGAAAATCGACAACAACAGATTGAGTAAATAGTTGAACAAAAAATATGGACGAGAAGTTAAATTAAAACTTATATTTTCGGATTTTTCTAAAGCCATAATCTTGTCAGTGTGAATAGGTCGAATCTTTGCCAAATTTTGGATGGAACATTTTGTGAGAACACTTACATCACAAAGATTTGGTCTCAGCACTTTCAAAGATGGAATTGCCTCAAAGGAAAATAGTTGAATGGCGAGAAGAAATCCATGAATGACCTTAGATTATTTTCTGAAAGACTCGATAAAAGTATAAACATAATCTTGGTCTTCCGTGCAATGAATTGTT